ATGCTTCAGGAAATGTTGTCACGCGGAGCAGGAATAGGCTGCTCTTTGCCTTGAATCCTGTACAATAGACCAAAAACACTCCGAGGCGGCACTCTGGAGCCACTGGCGTCCGCCGTGCCCAGATATCCATCGCTCCCATCAGGCAGCCCTGTCTCACAGGCCAGGACAAGGAGTTTTATCCGGCCATTCTCTGCTGGGATTTTATTTTTTTTTTTTAAATATACACATATTATTATTATTATTTTTAAATTACTTCCTGCCCTTGGAAAGCAAGGCAAAGAGGCCAGGAGCTACAGAAGCCAGGGGGAAACACAGAGAAGGAATTTGTTGAGCTCCAGAGGTGAGCTGGGTGGGAGGGACCTCAGAGGAAATAGGAAAAGATGGGAGTGAGGATGAAGGGGGTACTTATTTACAGCAATGTGAAGTCCTGTGAGGTAGGACACAGGATCAGGCCTCCAGGGAGCTGGGGGAAAGGGAGGCAGGAGATGACCCTGTGTCCGTGTCTGGAGGTGGGAGCAGAGCAGAGGCCACCTGGTCTCTGGGATGAGGCAGGACGGTCCATCCCTGCCTCCAGGAACACCTCCTGGGGAGCAGTCAGGCAGCGTTAGTCGGAGCAGTTGGTAAATACTGCTTATTTGGAGTATGCAGGAAAGCTCAGAAAGGATTTGTAACCCTCTGAGGATGTGGCAGGGGGTGGCTCTATCACTGCTGAGACGCAGCTGGTGCTGGGGTGGTGCCATGTGAGGCCTGGGAGTGGGGGTGAAGCCATGAAGGTCTTATACTGGAATGTTAAGGTGGATTTATGGTCTTGGCAAATCCCAGGCAGTGGTACATAGCCCTCCGTGCCCTGCTTCCCTTCCAGCACACACCAATTAACTCATGTAAGAGGTCCCCATCCAGCTCGCAAGTCCCTGGCACCCTCCTTCCATTGCACCCAAATATCTACAGCATTTTGGCACCCTGGGGAGCATGCCCAGGCTCTGGGGACTGCCGGGACATTCATACATGCATTCCTCTGATGCCAATGTCCCTGAAACCTGGCACCTGACTCCATCACTTCTTTGAAATGCTGCCTTAGAGAAGCACATCTCCATGGTGGGCACAGGCAACAAAATCCCAGCTCCAGCTGAACCAGCAAGGGGTTTTCTGCAGGTGTTCTGTGCTTCAGCTGTGCTCACGCATCTCTCATGGATGTAAAAAATGCCCCCTTCATACCACTGTTGCCTTGGCTATGTCCATGCAAGAAAGCAAGATGGCCCAGTGGCCTGATGACCTGGTGAGGGGCTGTCAGGAGCCCTGAATTTATTTCCAGGCTTGAGGCAGATCAGAAAACAAGAGCTGCCAGTGGGGTGGCTTGGGGTGGTGGATGCCAACTGGACTGTCCCTGAGCTGGATAGAAGCCATGGCTTTGCAGCAGCCACATCCTGGGCATGGACAGCTGGGACACCTCTGGGATGGTGACTCGCAGGGGACAGCACTCAGCTGCAGGTGCTGCCTTGGCCGGGGATGAAGAGCAGGCTTGGACATGGCACATGGAGCACAAGCTGCCGGGTGGCTGCTGTGATTTTACTGGCTCCATATCAGAGAGATGCACGGTACCTTGCTTTGCATCTCAATAAATGTTTATCTCCCGAATTTTAGAATGTATTAAATTGCTTTGAAGAAAATCTCTCGACCCCTGCTATGTTCAGCAAAGAAACAGGCGGGACAAATTGTCTTCTCGAGGTTTCTGTACTGGATACTTGGATAGACCACGGTGAACCGTCCTCTGGTGGGACTGACCCCTCCACTGATCACGGAGATGATTTTTTTTGCCTTATGATATATTTCCAATTTAGTAAGATCACTTGGAATTCCAGCCCTGTCCTCTGATGTACTTGCTGTCCCTTCCAGCAAGGTATTGTCTGCAAATTTAATAATCATCCATGTTATGCCATCAGTCAACTGTTAATGAAAATATTGAATAAACCTGCCCCCAGGAGAGACCCTGTCTGGATGTCCACTCAATCCATCTGTCCATTTTGACAGTGAGCTGCTGATAACCACTCCCCAGGTACCTTACAGTCGGGTTTTTCACCCATCTTACAATAACTGCATGTAGATGAGGGTCCCCTGTGAGACAGTGACAAAACCTCACTGCCCCGACCATGTTAGACAAGGACCTGTTTGTGTCAGTGCACGGAGCAAGGCTCCTGGTCACAAAAGGACATTGGATTGATTTGACACATCAGTTCTTGACAAGTTCATCAAGACCGGTGTCCTTGTCTTCCTCAGGGTGCTTACAGGCAGTGTGATTGTTTAATCCAATATTTTCAAGTTTATAAAGTAAACTGTGAAGCTTAAAGCACCCTGGTTGTTCTTTTCCCACCTTTTTGGAAGTCTTTTCACAGGTCTTCAGTGGGAACTATTGCTTCCAGATGGCTCAGCCAGGTTTTTAAGATGTTTATTGGGTCCAGGTTGTTAGAAAAGAACCGTCTCTGAACAGCTTGTTCAGTCCTTAACTCCCGATGTTTGGCTTCTTTCCTGTGTCGGTGCCTCTCTGTGAAGACCTGGTGAGACCTCAGGGTTGAGCCTTGCGACCTGTGGACCTTGGCATCAGATTTGACCTTGTTGCCTTTCTTCTTCACCCTGCATCCTCTGAGCACGAGGGCCTGTTCCACCTCCATCCTCTCTAAACCACTCGTTGCATTTATCAGGTATAAATTAGCCTTGACCTTTCAGTTCCTCAGGACTGGCAAGCCAATCATGGAAGCCCATCAAAGTGCCGAAAAAGCCAAGCTCGGGGTTAGCCCTTTGGCTTGCTGCTGTTTAATCCTTTCCTTTGGAGGCTGAGCAGACCATTTTCCCACTCCATCTGAAGCCCATTAGTTCTAACACAAGTCATTTCAGTGGTTTTTAGAAATCTCCTAAAGCTGACTAGGAGGAAATGTTGTATTTCAGCTCAGGTGGTGGTTGCTATTGCTTTAGGGTTATTTTTTCCGTATACTAATTCCAAGGAGCAGTGGCAGTGGATAGAAGCCTGGATGTCCCCTCCCCAAGCCTAAGTTAAACCGGCCTCCTGGTTTTTACCCCTAAAATAGGCACCTTTTGCAGTGCAGCTTTTCAGAGCATGGACACAATGGTTGCTCCAAGGCTTTGGGGACAGTTTACTCAGGACAGCAGTGACAATCTTGTTTCTCTCCATGATCTTTTCAGCTCAGAGTTGGTATCTGAAGATCTTTCCCAGCTGTGTCTCCACGAGGTGGTCAGCACTGGTCATGGAGGTGTCTGTTGTGGCTGTTCTCATGCAGCCCTTTGAACCAAGGAGCCGGGGCGGGGGGGGTTAGTGCCCCTTTGGCCTGTTAATTGGCAAGCTGAAATCTCAACTACAGTGTTATTTTTGGATGCTCTGCTCACGTCGCAAAGATTTACAACCAGTGAGTCACAGGGAGCCCCTTTTGTTGCAAAAAAACACCCCACTTGGACCGTAATTTGGGGTTATCCTACCAAATCCTGGGGGTCTGCAAATATGCTGCTGCAGGAAGGGAACATTCCCATAACAGCCTCTGAGCAGGGGGGGGGAAAATATATGAGAAATGGGGATGGGGATATAATTAGAGGCTGTTTCAAACCTTCAGCCTGAATACCAACACCTCGCTGCGAGCAGTTATTCACTCCCCGTGGAACGGCAGCTGGCGGTGGCCACTGCCAAGCACCGGGGTAGTCCCACCACCAGCACAGTGGAGTCATTATTGCTGGGGCTGGGGACCAGCTCAAAAAACTGAATGGGTGGCCCTGGTCAATCTGAGATGCTTCTGTGGGCAGGGAGAGGTGTTGTGGGGGGCAAACGTGGGGGTACAGAGGGGGCTGGGGGGGAGAGGGACCTGCCCAGCTCTGGGAGATGATGGTGGGGGTAAAAGGGGAGGTGATTTGGGGCTCTATCTGCTACCGACATCCAGTAAAGTACTTCTGAGCTGCCTGGCCTCAAGGGAAGGATGGGGTTTGATCAGCATTGCAGTCTGTGACCCTTCCTAAAGGCAGTTTAACCCATTTTTAGTGGACGGAGCACAAGAACCTTCAGCCAGAGATTTATAAGGGAAGCAGGGTCCGGGCTGGTAATAATAAATAATAAAAATAAAAACCAGCCACACTTCAAAAAATGTACCCCAAAACCTAGACATGACGTGTTGTGCCCTGGAATTCATGCCAGCAGTGCAACATCACCAGGGGTGGGTGCAGATTTGCTGGCACATGGCATTGGAGCAGGTCCTGCCTGTGGGGCTGGGGAAATAGGGCTGGGGAAATGGGGCTGGGGAAATAGGGCTGGGGAAATGGGGCTGGGGAAATAGGGCTGGTTGCCTCCTGGGGCACAGCATTTGCCCTTGGCTGGCTCTCGAGGCAGCTGGAGGCCATAGGAGCCCTGCCTTCTGCTGCCAGTCGGGGCACATCCGTGGAGGTCTGGCCTCTGCAACGCAGGAGCCGGTTGAATACATCCAAGTATCTCCTCGGTGGAAGCCAACGGCGTCGCTGCCAAACCTCACACCACGTTGGCTTCCAGGAATCACTCTGGAAAGGAGAGTGATGAGAGAGGGACTCCTGGCCAACAGCCCCGGCTGCTTCCACCTCCCACTTGGGAGGGGATGGCTCCTACAGCTGGGACATCTCCTCCAGCTTGCTGCTGGCACTCATGGGATGTGGAGACGCTCAGATGACGTGCTCCGTGGCTCCCCGTCCTGTTAGATGCACCCCTGTGTCTCACAACCCCCCCCCCTGCAGCCAAACCTCCCCCGTGGTCCAGCACAGGCAGGACTGGGCTGTGCTGGGGTGGTCTCTGCTGCCTCCGGTTCCTCAGCATCTCTGCAGAGTTGCCATGGAAACCATTAATTAACCACCATCCTTCTCCTGACGGTACCAAGCCCCGAGAACAAGTTAGATCTTCTCCCTTCCCCTTCATCGCTTGCCGGCACGACAAACACCTGGGGGAGGGCGGCAGCAAGAAAGCAGGCAAAGCCCTGGGCAGACAATGTTTAAATGACTTTATTTTTATTTTTTTTTTTCTCCTTTTATAAATGGGCACAGCACAGAAATAATTAAAAAAAATAGACAGTACCATTACAGTGCTAGATCCATTGGCAAAGATTATTTTTATAGTCTTTTTTATTATTTTTAAAGTTTTGGCCATTGAGTAAGAACAAAAACAATTAACAAACATTTTATTTTATTTTATTTTTGTTTTTTAACAGACACTATGAAGCAATTTAAGTACTAAACTCTAGAAGAGTTATGTACATACAAAAAAAAGTTCTGTTTAAGATATGTTTCCTATTAAAAATATTTACATGCATTTTTTTTTCCCTCCCATATTCATTGAAAGGTAAAACACTTGTAGTTTCTTCCATTGTTAAAGATTTTTTGTTGTCCTGTTGGGAATTTAAACCAGCTCCAAAGAAAAAGTGAAGTGGGGCTCACTTGTTGGGCTTTTCTTTTTCTTTGAATTATTTAAATCTTCTGGAAAGGGATATTTTTTTGGACGTATATCAATGGATTTTTTTGTTTGCTTAGGTTTTTTTTTGTATTTTTTTAATTTTTTTTTTTTAATTTATACAAGAATGTTTCATGTTTATTTACAGAAGAACCAATGGGTGGCGGTTTATCCCGGAGCCATGGCGGTGAGCGTTAGCGAGAGATAAGCATGTGATTTTAAAAAGTAGTTCTATCAAACTGCAATGGATATATATTTTTCTAAAGTCAGCAGTTCTGTCTGGTTTGATTGTCAGCTGTACTTCTGTGACTTAGACCAAGGGGACCCAGGAGAGGGGTTGCTGATGCAGGTAAAGTCACTGGTGCCCTTGAGGTCTTTGGAGATGCGGTGGATGAGCTGTCTGGAACGTGGAGGGGGGGTGGGAAATAAATCTGGGCATCGCACGGGTGTCTCCTAGGGTGACGTTTTCCCCAAAATAAAAATAATAGTCAAAATAAATCAAAGGAAAAAAAAAAATTAAATCCCAAAGAAGTTTGTACGCTCCAGACTGAGACTTCTCTATAGACTGGGAGTGGAAACGTCGGCGGAGCTGCAGGCACGAGGTACGTGGGACAAACCAGAGCCAGCACGAAGCCACTTTGGCTCTGGCTGGGGGTGAGGCGGTCGGCAAAAGGCTCCTCATCCCGACCACCCCCCGTGGTGTCGAGGGGGCAGGATGGGGACCTCGCTACGACCGGGCTGGGGGCGGGAGGGCAGGAAGGAGCCGGCAGCACCGGGGCCAAATCCCGCAGCCCACGGCCAAGGATGGGCACACGGCGCCGGTGGAAAAACCCTCCTCGTCCCCTTTAGGTGCAGAGTTTGCATTGAACCTGTGCACGCGCGCGTGCTTTGCACACACGCGTATATACATATATACATATATATTAATTACATACACATATATATACATACATACACGCACACCGCTCCCATCCCTGTCGCCGCAGCCCCCAGCCCGGCCGGACGCCAAGTTATTCCACAATCAACCTTTCCGTGCTCAAAACTCAATGTCACTTTAGGAGCTGCCAGAGCCTCGCAGAAGAAAACCTCCGAGCCCAGAAACGCTTATCATCATAAAACGGATGATTGAAGCGGGGTGGAAAAAAAAAAAAAATTAAAAAAATCCATTTTTGTTTTTAGCTAATGGTTTTGTTCCTGTTAAAGCCTCGGTGCTGGTGACTCATGGCAGGGGTCGGAGAGCTCTGAATTATGAGTCTGGGGAGCAGGAGCCAAGGCTCGCATGGAACAAAGCAGCTCCTGCACAGGGATCTGGAACACCCACCAGGCAAAATGGGGAAGGAATGGGAAATTTAGAGGCAAACCAGCACTCCACAGCACGCATCCAGCCCAGCACCATCACCTTCCCTGCAGCAGGATCCCCCACCCCCGGCACAGGGTCCTGCTGCTGATTTTTGAAAGGTCCAAAAGCAAAGAGATTTTGGGAGGAAAGGACCAACTCCCAGCCCTGCGAACCCTGCCCGGGGACTGGGTCCAGTTCCATCTCCTGCCCTTCCCATCCTCCCACTTCCAGCCCTTCATTTGGGCTCTCACGTATTTTCTCGTCCTCCCTTCCCTTTGACCCCTTCCTCCTTCATCAGGAATGTCACCAGCTCCTTCATCATTCTCCTGTGAGACATGGGCTGCTGCAAATCCCAGCAGAGAGAGAGGATGAAAACCAGCACAGCCTGGAGAGGAGCCGGCACCGGCTTTCTCACTTTGCAATTGCAGCTCTACTGAAATGATGGAACTGGCACAGCAAAGAGTCTTCCTGCAGCCTATCACACACACACACACACACACACACACACACACAAACATGCAGAAAAGGAATGGGATAAGAAATGGAAAAGCAAGTGGAAAAGCCCCCCATGGGCCACCCACATCCTCGGGGTGCACAGCTGGAAGGATGAGCACATCTGGGCACTGCCCCAGCTGGGAGGCAGCAGCCGTTCATGGATGGTATCACTACGGGGGATGCGCACGGCCTGGGGAAGGGGCTGAATTCGTGCCAAATCTGGCAGGCTTTGGGAAGGGATGATGGGGGAGATGCTCAGGCTACCACTGGAGTTAATTCCCCTCCAAATCTGCTCTGCAGCCAAATCAACAGCTGAGAAAAGATGCTTTTGTTCCTCCCCCTGTGCTTTCTCACCTCTTCCCCATCCATCTTCACACCAGGAATCTCTCCAAAGCCCTGGAGTGTGGTGAGACACGCGTACCCATGCAGAAGCGTTTGCTGGAGGGACCAGCTGTGCCTCGCTGGCCACCATCTGCCCCTGGCCACCCTCAGCACAGACATGGCCTCAGCACTATCACCCGGCGCGGGGCTGGGAGCTGCAACACACCACGTTCATGTGGTGCCATGCCCAGCCTCAGGGATGGCCACGCTGCAGCCCACCACCACCACAACCCCCTCACAGACCCTGGCACCATCACTCCTCTGGGTTTCACTGGGGTTTTACCCATCCCTGCTGCTCTGGCAATAAAGAGGTGATGATATCCACAAGTTTTTTTAGAGCTGAGCTTTTCCAAAAAATACCAGTCCAAGCTCAGCTCCATCCCACCACCCCCTTACCCTCCAAGGGAGGCACAAGATCAGCCGTTCTCCAGCAAGACAAGGTTTGTTTTTTTTTTCCATCCAAACACCAACTCCAACAACTAACCGGGTGGTCCTGGGGAGCTGAGGCGACAGGAAAGGCTCTGCCATGATTTATCACCAGGAAAAAAAGTTGGGCTCCAAGCCCAAAAGACAGTGTCCTTGAGCTCACATCCCCTCTCCAGGCGGAGAGCAACATGGCAAACGTGTGGAAGCAGCCGACATACAATGAGTTAAGACTTTGGTCAATCCTGATTACCAGTTTAATTGCCTTCACCTTTTCTTTTTTTTTTGCCTGTGGTCGTCTCATACTTTTAATTAAGGCAAGAGAAAGCGCTGCCCAACCTCCTCTCGCCCCCCCACCTCCAGCCTTCCTCACTTCTGAAACTGTAACAGATTTAAGTGCCAGGATTACAACTTAACACCAGCTGAGTGAACCGAGGTTAAGCTTGAGTGAATAAAAAAATTGTATTATAGAACTTCAGACTATTAAATGGGAAAAAAAATGGAATGGAGAAGATTAGGGAAGCAGCTAAGAAAAGCAGCATTTAAAAGATTAAGCTGGGAGGTTGTTTTTTTTTAATGCAAGCTCAAAAGATTAAGTCCATGTTTTTCCAAAAGATGGTGATTTTGGGTGGCCTTGATACTTGCTGTGCCCAAGTCATCGAACCATGAAGAGACTTGATTTCCACCACTCCCCAGCAGCTGGGGCCCTTTGGGTAGTCCCAATGGGACCAAAAAAAACCCCAAACCCATAAGTTGAAGCCCTCCCTTTGGAGCAGGTCAGAGAAAGCAGACCCTGGAAAGAAAGCCCAGGTTGGCACCAGCCTTTCTTCAGATGTGTGGTCCCCCCTTCACAGCACCCTCATCCTCCACAGCCGTGATGGACCCAAGAAATGGGTACACACACACACACACGCTACATCATCTGTCTTTCAGCATCACCAACCAAGACATCCAAAAGGACCATCTTCTCTAAACTGAAAGAATCAAAATGATGGCAATTTTGAGGCTGGCATACTCTAAAATGGGGATTTTTAGAGCTGGCCTGTGTGCTGGGGCTCTGCTCCCCACCCCGAAGTGAAAGCAGGTGGGTGGTTGGGGTCGCAGTCCCTGCACTGCGCGCCCCAGGGGACCGAACCCCAAACCTCACATCTTCCCAGCCACAAAGTCCCATCCGACCACCATATGCAGTGCAATGAAAATTTACAGGGATTTCATTTCATATATATATATAACTGTGTATGTACGTGAGTGTATATATATATATATCTATAAAATATGCGTTTGGCCTCTCAAATTCCTAACATAAAGAAGCGCTGCTGTCTTGTAGCCTCCACCAGGGTCATAAATCCCTACATCCACTAGCACCCTGGGGGGACAAAGTGTCACCGTGTCTGTGCAGGTTGATTCAGGATGCAACAGAGTCAAAGCAACCAATTTTTTTTTTTTCCATTTCCCTGTTTAAATTGCTCTAAGAGCAAAGCCAAGGTCTCCATGGGACACCATCGAGATCGCAACCGTCACGAAAACAAAGCTCCTTGACTGTGTCGCAAACAGCGCTTCAGCTAATTAAAAGCCAACTCATTGAAATATCTAATTGACTTTTCTGTGCAGAGAGCTTGCTCCAAAAAAAATCTAGCCTTTCTAGAAGGCACAGTTGGGCTCTGGATGAGGCCCTGCTGCTCTGAACCTTAGGTAGCCTTGGAGGGGAAACCACTGCTCTTGGGCGACGAGGGCTTCCAGGATCTTTTGCTCTCAGGCTCCTGGGTGCCCCATGGGTTATACTGGAATTTAAGCAAGAACAAAAGAAACACAAAACCATCAATCTGGGTCTTGCAAAAGAGATGTAGCAGCCAACCTGCCCTGGGGCTGACTGGTGGAACCAATCTGCCTCACCTTCCTCACCTTCTGGGTGCCAGGGGCCGGGGGGAACCCCTGTCCGACCCCTAAGGGGACAGAGTAGTGCCTCTGCTTTGCAATTCTTTCCTTATGCTGCGTCTCGTGCCTCGTGGAGCTCTGTGAGGTGTTATCCCAGCTGGAGGAACCAGGGAGAGGATTCAGCTTCTCCGTTTCCAACTCCTCTCCCCGACCAACTCCCCACCACGCAACATCCCGCTCCGTTTTAAAACCAGTGCCGTGGGTCGTACTGCGCAAGCTGAGTTTTATTGGTCACAGTGAAAACCCAGCGAAAGCAAGGTCCCTTCTCAACCAAACCCCTTGGCGGCCACCAACGCGCCGTTTCTATCGATTTAAGGTCTCTGGCTGCGCACAGCGATGCGGTGAAGCGAGGTGGTGGCAGGAGGGGAGCAGCATGAGGCACCCCAACGTGACTTCTTGCTGCTCCACGAGCTCTCCGAAGTGGTGATCTAAAGAGATCATTTCCAGCATACTGGCCAAGTTTGTATTTATTTATTTTTCCCCACTCCAAGAGCAAACCCCGGGGCATCAGGTATTCCAGCCCCTTGTGCTTTTTTCAAGGTTCAAAGCATATTTGAGAGTCGCGTCCTCTCTTCAAACAGAAGCAGGGAACAAGGTAAATCCTGCAAAGCAACCAACCCCATTTGAAAAAGAAAAAAAAAAAAAAAACCAAACAAAAAATGAAAATAAACCCCCAAAAAAGCAAGAGAGAGAGAAACAAACCTCCCTCCTTTCCAAAGTGGAAAAAAAAAAAAAGGAAGATAAATCCAAACCAATCCCCCTGCGCCCCAGGGCTGGTAGAAGGTGTCCAGGTCCCAGAATCCATTGTGTTGGTGGGAAAAGCCCAGTGACCTCCAGCCACCGTGGACAACCCAACTGCCCCATCCTGCGCTCTCCAGGGCGCTCCTCGGGCATTGGCTCCCTTGGCGTTGGCTCCTTGCCCCATCCCTCCCGCTGCAGAACGGCCAGCGGTGCTCGGTCTGAACTCGGCGATGCTCTGGGCACTTGAATTTTCTTTCATCCTGCCAAAGACGTGTTTTCTCCTTTTGCTGTTGCGGGTTTTGCTTTTTAAATTCACAGTCTGATCCGAAAAAAAAAAAAAAAAGAAAAAAGAAAAAAAAAGAAGAAGAAAAAGAGAGAGACAGAGAGAGAGAAAGAGAGACTGGATGAAGTAGAAGAAGGAGGGAGAGTTTGGAGCGGGGAGGGAGGGAGTGCGAGGCACGCTGGGCTCTCCTTCTACGCGTAAAACTCCTCCTGCTTGTCGGGCTTCTGGTATGTCACGTTGGCTTGCTTGGGCTCCTCCAGCGTGTAGCTGCCCTCGTCCTTCTTCTTCATCCGGTAGATGAGCAGCATGACCAGGAAGGCAGCGAAAAGGGCTCCCACCACGCCGCCCACGATCACCGCTGCAAGACACAGAAGTGGCTGGGCCGTCAGTGCTACCCCCTGCCCCCCCCGGCCTTCAGTGCAAATAATTTGGCGGTGGGGGATCATCTGGGATTCCAGCTTGGGTTTTGGGCTTTGTAAGTTTTGGAGCAACTTTCCTCCTGAAATCTATGGTTGAGAAAACTGAACATGAAGGAGAGGAGCCAACGCAATCGCGTGATTCAAGGGGCTTCCACAAGCTCCCAAGTGCAGCGATGCCGAAGGGTGGGTAGGACCCAAAGGCATCTACTCTCCAGCCGTACAGTTGGCGATGGACTGGCACGAGGCAGCCCTGGCACAGAGAGAGGTCCCTGCGTGGGCTGTAACATCATGCAAGGGGGGGGCAGAAAGTCCCCCAAAGAGCTCCTCGTTTGGCTGCCTACCAGCATCCACCACGCTCAGCTGAAGACCACCAGTACAACAGCGGCTTTGCTGTGCCATTGCCTCCAGCTCCATTTAGTTGGTGGTGGGACACTGACACCTCTGCCCCATCTGAAATGTCCCTCTGACTGGGACAAGTAGCCCTCCGAGGGCACCTCTCTCCTCCCCTGCACTCAGAGGTGGCCAGGTGGCATTCAGCCAGCACCATAGCACATCTTTCTACTAACATCCTTTTTTTTTTTCACCTGGAAACCTGTTTTAGCAAAAGCAAATGGTGCACAGCTCTGCATTTTCCTGGCAAAGACCTGAAGACCCGTGGGGACCCCTCAGCACAGACCCTGGAGTTATTTTAGCAGGTGAGTGTGGACTATCCCATGCTCAACAATACCCCAAAGACCGACCCCTCTCCTGGGGCATGGACAGCCCAGCTCTCTGTCCCCCCCAGACATGCCAGCTCTCCCCCGACAAGCCCTCAGGTCTCACCTATCAACACTTCTTTCCTCTCCAGGATGTTTTTCTGGGGGAGCTGAGCGGCCGAGTTGCCGGAGTCTATCGTGTTGTCGATGAGCCCCGGCTCTGCGTTCTTGCCCAGCCCAGGTCCCGACGGTGGTGTCACCACAGCCATCACCTCGTTACCGAGCTCGGGACGAGTGGTCTCTTCCTCCTCCCGGATCTCAAAGTCCCCGCTGGGGCCGCTGCTGACTGGGACCTCCAGCTCGTTGTCGAGGACTGTCGTTACCTCCCCTGGCTCCATCTGGGAAAAAGGACAAGATGGAAAGGGGCAAGGACCAAAGGGTGGTTTCTGCCTTCAATAGCTTTGATGTGTCCAGACAAGGGACATCACAGTACCGATGACAGGGTGACCCTCTCAGCAAGGAACATGGGGGATGACACTGGGGTATCCCTTCCCTGTGTCACAGAAGTAGATGATTATATTGCAGCAAGCAACACAGCCCCACATCTTGATGGTCACCAAAAGGCTGAGGCCACAGCGGCTGAGCTGGGCTATTCTTTGTCCCCATCCGAGGTGCCCTTGAGATGAACAAACACTCACCTGTTCCCCACAGCCCCACATCCCAGACCCACATTTTGGCTCTCTATCCCCAGTGCAGACCAATGGCTGGCTTAAGCATCTCACAGATGCCTCCTGGTTAGACGCAAAAGTGATGCAACCATTTGTGCTCCAGCAACATAGCAAGTGTAAGGATCAGACACCATGGGACAAGCCCCAGGGGTTCTCCTCCCTCTCCCTTTTCTCCATTCAAGCTTCTCCTATAGTTGCAGCCCTGCGTCACAGGGCAGGCACAGAAAGATGGGTCCTTCCCACCCAGGACATGGAGCCAGCCCAGCTCCCTGCCATGGTCCCTGAGCAAGCTCCCTTGGCATGGAGAAGAACCCAGCTTGGAGAGCAAACATGGGCTGGGCAGATGAGCCCCTCCAGACCCCTCCAGCCCAACCCTGATGTACTCATTGCCTCCTGTGCATCCCCACCCCTGCAGATCCCTCGGGGCCAAATCTCCTTGTCCTGGCAGTCTGGACCACACTGAGCATCTCCCAGCAAAACCTCCCCAGGATCCCTCCTTCGCAGGTCAAACAGCTCCTTCCCTGGATGTTACGAATCGGGATCAGCAAAGAGCTCGACGGGCCGATGCCGGGGAGGGCGAGCGGAGCCCTCTCCATGTCACGCCGCCCCCGGCGCGAGCGCACGGCTCGCTGCTTCCCACGAGCGCGCGTTTTCGTGACAGAGATTAATTGAAGGTCAGGGAGAGCCCAGAGCGCTACACATACATATATGTACACAGAAAAGAGGGACTAGTTTAGACAAATCACTCCACCTTTCAGTCAAAGTGGTTTTCAAAGGGCCCCCGAGGGGCTCTGAATGAGAGATGGATCAGCGGATTAAATCCCCTGCTCAGGACACCCGACGGGCTGGAAATGCACCGTCAAGCTGTAATTGTGGAGGCTTGGGCCTCCCATTGAAGGGCTGTAAGTTGAGAAATGGTACGATGAGCCCAGACAGCAAAGCCCCTCTTTCCCCATGGGGCAGTGGTACCTCCAGCCCTGCTTCCCTCCTGCCTGGGGAAGCTGCTCCAGCGCAAGGCACAGGCAGGGGTACTGGGGACACGTGGCACATCCCTGGGTGCCCCCGTTAGCTCTCATGCCAGCCCCATCACCATGCTCTGTCCATGGTCAACCCCCCACCCTTTAATCCTCCCCCTCCAGCACCCCACATGTTCCACTCTCCACAGAGCTGGGAAGAGCCCAACTGGGATTGACCTTACATCCAAGACCAGGCTGGACGGGGCTTTGAGCAACCTGGTCTGGTGGGAGGTGTCCCTGCCCAGGGCAGGGGGTTGGAATGAGATGACCTTTAAGGTCCCTTCCAACCCAAACCATTCTATGATTCCTCTGAGCACCTGGCTCAGGACTCATCTACCCCAAAGGCTTCCCATCACCATCACTTGGCTTCAAACATGGCCCACGAGCCCTTTAACAGGTGAGAAGGGCTCCTGCCTCCTACCTGGGGGGCTTCTGTGGGTGGCAGCGTGGCAGGACTGGATGGCAAGGCAGTGCTTTGTTCTGTGAGGTCTGCAGTCCTGGTGGTGCTTGGTTTTGGCAGGGACCTGGGTTTGGCCGTGCTGGTGGGGACAAGCCGTGACGTGGTCACTTCTGTTGGTGTGCTGGTTTCAAGGACGGAGGTGGTGGGTGTCTCCAATGTGGTGGCCCGGGTGGTGGCTGCCTTAGTGACAAGAGGGGGCAGGAACCTCCGGATGGTGGTGGGCTTGGCAGTGGCCATGGTGGTGCTGGTGGTGGTTGTAGCTGCGGTGGTAGTTGTGGTGGTGGTAGCTGCTGTGGTGGTCGTGGTTGTGGTCGTGGTGGTAGGTGAGTCGCTGGCAGTGGTACTGGTGGTGGTTGCTTTCCAACTGGGGATCACTGGTGTCTCTGTCATCCTGGGGATATACAAGACGCTGGTTGTCTGCTCGGGGGTGGTGTCCTCAGTGGGGAATGGTTTGAAGGGGGTTGCCACAGGCTGCACTGAGGTGATGGGCAGCATGGCCGCCGTGGTGGGGAGTGTGACAGACGTGTCCGTGGTGAGGGTCACTGCTGTCTCCAGGCCCGACTCCTGCTCAAAATCTGAAAGAGGAGGAGAAGAGCAAAGGGTGAAGCTGCTGCTGGGCCAGTGTTTCCCAGGGCTGACACCCACTTGGCCTCACCCTCCAAAAAACCAAGAGCATGGACGGGTTCCAGGCTCAGCAGAAACCAAGGGCTGCAAATTCCCATGTGGTGGCCAAAGCACCTCTTCAGAGGTCGATGAAACCTCTATAACATGGCAGGTGCTACCGTGCTGGGGAAGGGCTAATCCTGCCCAGTCAGACCAGAGACTGAAATGGGAAATGGAGTCCCTTGAGCCCAGCCTTCGGGGCAGTTTGCTTTTGTCTAGAAGAGGGCAGGAGGCCAGTTCTGGAGACAGATAACGGTGATTCCCACTCTCCCATCCTGCATCAAGCCCCTCTCCAGTCCCACCAAAACCCACAGCCGGGAACTGTGGGTTCCCCAGGAGCCCTGCAGATACTTACACCCCGAGCCGGAGCCCGAGTAGACATCGTCCAGTTCATCGTCCCCAAAGGGGTCATCATCCCCGGAGCCCTCCAGGTCCACGGGCCTCTCGTAGTTCTCATTGCGCCAGCGCTGAGCCTGCAGCCGAGGGGGAGAAAGGTGTGAGCAGCTCCAGAAGGACAAACCAAGAGTGGTGCCTGCACAGACACCCCCAGACAGCCCCCGTGGGGTGATGCACAGGTTAAACAGACCAGGCAAAAGCAAGACCAAGGGGGCAGGAGCGCAGGCAGCGCTTTCCAGCTCAAAAGCTTTTCCAGCTCGATCATCCAGAATCGTGGGGTGTTTTTTTTTCCCCCAAAACAATTTGCTGCTGCAAATCTTTCAGACAAGCTGACATTTTGTGGAGAGCTCGCATTGAAGCCGATAACATTTCCCATGGAAACAAGCCCTCTGGAAAAAGGGGGGAAAAACCAACAACTGCTTTTGAATACTGTTAGGAAAAAAAAAAAAAATCAATTTTGTTCTCCAGCTCACTATTGTTTTGTTTTAGATGATTTTCATGTGAGTCCTGGCACAGGTGTGACAGTGACACACACTATCAGCTGCCGTAACTTAGAAAGACTCAATACGAAACAATATCAGACTTCAAATATTCCAGTGCTTTACAGTGCTGCTAAAACTTGAAGAGCCCTTGCTCATAGAGCTCTTAAACATCTTGTTTTGCAGATCAAAGTGTCTCCTGTTTGTGTTGCAAGGAACAGTTTGACACTTCATTACAACCCAAACAAGGAGGCTTTGATCTGCAAGATAGCATCAGATGTTTCAAGATGTAACAAGCCAGGTTAGTGTTTAAATTTAAAAGGAAGGGGTTGAAGGGTCCCCTTCACCTATTAGAGCATTTTTACCTCTTGACAAAACTTCCAGTTTCTTTGTTTTTCATTCCAGATTAGAACAAAAGGGAGTTTTGAAAAGTCAGAAGGTCCCAGAAGGTCCCATGACAAGGAAGTTCGGGACTTAAATCACGTTTTCTCCCCCCACGTCTCTGCTCCTGGAGCCCATCAGCTGGCAAGGAAGAGAAAACCCGGCAGCTCTTGGCTGCAGAGAGATGCTCAGGGCTGGGAGGCAGGAGGACACTTGCCAGGGGCTGCGAGCTGATTGCTGCCGTGGTGCCCAAGCCAAGGAGATGTCTGCCGCCCAAACCCTGCCTAGATAGTCACTGGTGTACCACTTGTGTCGTATGCCCATGGTGACAGCATGAGCACGTTCCTGGGGACAAATCTCTTGGGAAGGTCAAGGGGAGTCACGCTTTTAAGTGTCTGTCTTTCCTGAAAGTGCTGCTGAGCTTTTTCTGGCTGGATCTATTCTTTTATCTCCACCTCTCCCCTATCACCGCGGTCACTGGTTATACCCCGCCAGTCTCCAGTGCACCACACACTTTCCAAATCACTGGGAAGATCCAATCTTTGCCCCAAAGGCAATGCACCATCCTGGAGTTTCAAATCCATGCTCACCAGCAGATCACTGAAGAAGTCTGTTATCCACCAGAATGAATCCACAGGGAATTGGGCATCATGCAGCCCCTTGCTGAGCCCCAGAGGCCAAACCCTGCTGCAGCACGAGGCTGAGGATGGGAGTGATGTGGGAGTCACATCACTGAACGTGGGAGTCAGCATTGAATAACCCTGCAGAGATGCTGGGAAGCCATCTCTTCTTCACAGAAGTAAAAGACCCCAAGAACCACCTTTGGTTTCACCATGCCAGCTTTCCATGTCTCCCCAGCACTGATTCCAAAACCTTTAGGTCAATATCCCTCGTGGGTTGGTAGGATAAAGCTATGGAGCTCACCCACTGTGAAATGGCCCATGCAGGACTTCTCTGTCCCTGTGACCTCTGCAGGGAAGCCAGGGACCAGGAGGTCCTTGGGGACATTGCAGGGCCTGGTTCAATGTCTTTTGAAGGCTGATGGGGTCTACCATCCATAGGAGCCCATAAATTAGGAGACAGGCCACCAAAACTGACGGGAGGGCAAGGAAAAATTGCAAGGTTTGAGGAATGGGAGGAAAAAGCATTTGGAGCTGCTTTTAATTGCCTTTTGATTATTATTATTATTATTACATGAAAAATATTGAGCCTCACCAAGAAATGAGGAGGTCGCTAAGCAGGAGTTTCCCAGACCATCCCTCACCCCTGCCAGTTAACCTGGCTGAGCTTCCCAAAGGCTGGATTCTCTCTGTGTGACCTGCAAAGCCTCTCCATAATGGCAGCCACATGGCTCTGCTCCATTAAGCCCCTTTCTCCCATAAATTGGAACCAGATGAGGCAAGTTTGGCCACCAACTCCCTGGTTCCCCATGCTTGAACTGGGAAATTAAAATGGAAGCACATGGCAGCAGCATGCCATGCCAGCCCCTATCCATCCACCCATGGATCCATCCATCCATCCGTCCATCCATCCACCCATCGATGGATCCATCCATCCATCCATCCATCCACTGATGCAACCATCCATCCATCCATCCATGGGGTGGAGACACTCAGCAGAACCAGTGCATGCCCTGGATCTCCTTTGCCCAGAAGAGCCTGGAGTGATGGAGTGAGGGCGAATGGGAACACACAATGTGCTCCCAACTGCTGCAATGACCCCAACTCTGCTGAGAACAAGGCAGATGGGAATGCTGAATTGAAGCAACTTTGGCAGCTGTGGGTGCCATTCACAGCCAGGGTTTGGTACTGGTGGCCCCAGGGTGATCAAATCACTGGGAATATCCTGGAGATGATGGAGATCACTGTGTGATCTGGGCAACTCCCGGACCTCACCAGTGAGAACTGCCCAGCCCCAAATCCACAAGCAAACCTTTCCATGAGAATAACACCCCAGCACATGGCCAGGGAGGAGTCCCCAGGGGCCACTGCTTGGCCCCAGCATCCTCCCAGGGCCACCAATCAATGCTGTGCTCCAACCTGCAGCAAGTGGCTCCCCAACATGGTGTAGAAGTTTGGAGCTGGAAGCCCCTTCCAATGGGTCCGTCCCCTTCCCAGATCCCTACCCCTTGCTCTGTGCAAACACCATCGCTCCCTCCACGTTGAGGGAGGGAGGGATCCGTGCCACAGCCCCTCGGGGATCCATCTCCCGGAGCTGTTGACTGCAGCAGGAACAACTTCACAGCAAGAAAACACCTCGCAGGGCCAAAACTCCCTCTCCAGAGACAACTCCCCCAACGTGAGAGACAGCCCTCCCACGCCAGCCTGCAGCAGAGCAGGGATGCTCTTGGCCAGGTTTTGCCCTAAGTGGATTCCAGAGGATCGGCAGCGATCGGTGGAGTTTATACCGAGGAGGGACCCCAGTAAAAAGCTGGTGGGACAGAGCATCCCACCAGCAGCCCAGCTCTACCCGTAATACCAGCTCTCACACGACCAGGCAGCGCGCTGCTGTTGCACTACAATATTCAAGAAGCTGCAGCGTTTCCATTGCTCAGGGGAGGGCAAAAGGGACCTAAAGTGGGATGGCAGAGAGTTTCCCTTCTTCAGCTCATCCACAAGTCTCCAGAGGCTGCTCCCAAGCCGTTCCTCTGTGACACAAAGCCATGGCAAGCAGCAGTGGATACTGGGCAACCCTTTGCTCCTCTCCTGCATCCTTCATCCTAGGGTTGCATCTGCCCAGCATAAACCCCTATATAACCCCACTGCCAGGACCAGCCCCAGCCCACCGAGCGTCACAAAGATTTATTGATAAAGCCTTGTGAAATGTCCGCAGGTGTTCCTGGTGCAGAGGGGGGGTGTTTGGGACACGGCTGTTCCCAAAAAAAAGCCCCCGTGTTGCTCCGCTCCCAAGGCACTGACGTAAACCTCCTCCCGGCCAGGCTGCCCCAGCTGCAGCCCTGATGGTATTAGGTCAGGCTCATGCCATAAATCTTGGGAACAGTCAGTGTTTATTTGGATTTACTGCTGCTTAGATCATTAATACTCCACGTGCACCGAGCCCCGCGGTCACGCACGACCCCCAGCCTCCCCCCAGCATCGAGGGGGCTGCTCCCCCCTTGCGTGGCTGGGATGAAGCAGAGAGGAATGGTGATTTCTCCAGCCCTGGAAATCACAAATCAGGCAGGACGGCAGCTCCCACCTCCCGACCTGCGGCTGCCCCCCCGTCCCTCACAGCCTGCACCGCAGCAAAGACGCAGCTGCCTGGATTTGGCCCAAAAAAAGAGAAATTTCACCCTGACTTTATCCCTGACACAGCAGGTTCCACGTGGTCAGGGCAAGGTTGGAGGGAGTTCATTGGCAGGTTCCCCTGGGGGTGCTGGATCTGTTCCTTGCAACCCTTGGTCCCCAGGGATGGTGTCACCAACTGTCCCCATCCTGTGGCAGGATCTCCTGGACCTGCTGTATCTACCCGTTGCAACCCCTGATCCCCAGGAGTGGTGTCACGGACTGTCCCCACCCCGTGGCAGGATGCTCTGGGGGTGCTGAATCCATCTGTTGCAACCCCTGGTCCCCAGAAATAGTGTCACGAACTGTTCCCACCCCACAGGAGGATGTCCTGGGGGTGCTGGCTCCGTACCTTGTAACCCCTGGTCCCCAGGGATGGTCTCATGGACTGTCCCCACCTGGCAGCAGAAGGCACAGGGTTGCCACCCCAGCGGGAACCCCAGTGCCAGGCTGTGAAGCCTGTGGAACCACCGAGGATTGCCAGCCCCGAAAAAGGATTTTCCATGGTGCAAATTTCCTGCCTGCCTGGCATTGGGAGTCACTCCGGCTGCATCCACAGCCTTGATGAATCTCCTCCCGCAGTCAGGATGGGGGGGACCCACTTGCAGGACTCCCAGGTTGTCAGTGCAGCCCTCTCTGAGGGCTGGGCCAGGGGTGCAGAGGCTTCTCTGGGCAGGGAGGAACCCCCAGTGAGATGTTCATCCTGGCCCAAGTGCTTCCCACCCCACGTCAGCACCCGTCCTGCCCTGTCTGCAGCGGGATGCCGAGGGCCACCGATTAGCCAGCTCGAGCCAAGGGACAGCAGCTCCCGTCCCTACAATTACAACTTCCCAGCTAATGGCTCTTGGCAGGGGGTTTCATTAACCAGCTCAGCCCCTGCTTCCCCCTGGACAGGCTTCATTAGGGAAATTAAACCGGGGGTCAAGGCAAAGC